TTCAGACAACATGATAGTCCACATTTCAACAACAACCAATGACAAGCCACTCTCAGCCTTACTCGAATCTTTAAATACAGGCGATCATATTGTCTGAGCCCAGGAAGCGCGTCTGCCTCTCCTATTGTCTGCATCTGTATTATTCTGCAGAGCCTCCATGTATTCCAAGGCTTGAGCAACCTCCTTTCGCACAGACTGTGCAATTCACCATGCAAAGCAGGCCCTGCTGTTCTCTTACGCCTCTTCTCTCCCAGTTATTGGTTCAGAGGCAACTGGAAATTCGGGGACTACCTAGTATGCTATAAAACACCCCTAAGAGGTTTGCAATACGTTGATGAAGGAAGGCACGATACCATTTTGCAACAAATCTCAAGTCTGAACCAATCCTTCCCAGGAGGCCACAGGTGATACTCCAGTCCAGGTTTATTATAAATATTATTTTAAAAATCCCATCAAAACCTCAACACACAAGGGATACTGCAGCCAGGACGGAGGATCCAGTCAAGGGGACAAACCTTCAAGAAGAGAGAGGACCACACAGCCCAACCTCGTATCCAAACCACACTGATCCTGCTGTCATGAGGTGGAGTGGGCCATTCTGCTTCAAGGCTCCATGTTGGAGAATGCAGAGAAGAAATGCCAACTGCTTCAGCGCTTACTCTCGCCTCCCCTCCGAGCCCCCTTCTGGCTAGATCCCAGAGCTTGATCTGAATTTTGAGGATGCTGTCCAGGCCCAGGTGGGATTTCCAAATCCTGCTCCTTGCCCCAGTGCTCCACAAGGACAGGGGGAGTTGATGGCGCTCGTCCCCGCCAATGGTCAGGACCAGCTCCCGATGCAGATCCACGTGAGCTTTCCCGGCGGGGTGTAGTCTGATCGCGCCAGTTCCAGGCAGAGCCGTGCGCGCGCTCGGCCAGGACGCGAGGGAGGCCAAAGAAAAGCAGAGCCTACTACGCAGGAGCAAGGGCCAGCTGGGCCTTGCCATGATGGGGCCCCTCCAGAGGGGCTGCAATGCTTGCTACTGGTCACCTAGCTGCTGCAGCAGAGTCCGGCGCCGGCGCTCCAGCTCCCCTTCGCTGAGCTCCTCGCTCTCTGAGGTGTCCCAGCCACTCTGCCAGGAGAAGGAGTGCGATGAGAAACCACCGGCCCCTTGGCCCACACCTCCAATCCTGGCACGAGGCCCACCCGACTCCCCTCGCCTCCCAGTGTCCGGCCCGTGCCCCAAACGCAGCTCTCCAAGGAGCCAGGTTCCAGCCGGGCCTTGCGGAGGCCCCGACGCAGCCCTCCAGCCCTTCCCAGAAGGCCCCTCCCCGCCCCCTTCCCCCAGACCGTGGGTTGCTTGGCGGCTCCCCAGCCTTCCTCACTCTGTGTCCCTCCTAAGGCTTCGTTGCTGGCAGGAGGCGCGTTTAGTGAAAGCACGCCGGCCTTCTGGCCCCGCCCACCACCGGAGCGCGGCCCCACGGGCTTCTCCGCAGGGCGAGCTGGGCCCCGGGCCTGGTGGGGCTCCGCACGCCTGTCTTGGAGCCTGGCTTCCGGCCGCCACCTCTCACCCGCTCCCTCCTGGTGCCTCGGGGAGGGGAGTGGCCTCTTCCCTCAGGCCGCGGAGGGGCCTTCTCTCGCTCCCACTCGTCGGGTTGGCTTGGCTCCTTCTTGTGCTCAGCTTCGCTTTCAGGGCTGTTCTGTAAAAGAAATGGCTGGCAACTGGGGAGGCCGACGTGCCCGGAGGAAGCACCAGCAGCCCCACCAGCTTCATGGCCACCAGAGAGGGCCTGGCAGCACAGAACAAGGAGACAGACCAGGCTTGTGATGCTGAGCCGAACCTCGCTGCCTTCAATGCATTCCTTTCCATTCTTTTACCTGGTTTAGCTTTGCACTGTTCACCAAAACTGCTCACCAGTTTTGGGATCTGCCTAAACATGGAATAGTATATAAATACTGTAAACAAATGAATAAAACAAATAAAAGCAGGATAAGAAAAGGTGAGGCCACCACTTGTGGATAAAAACGATGCAAAACAATGCATCCTCAGCACAAGGGATTCCGCTTGTTCCTTCTCTGAGCAGGCAGCACGGCTGATGCCTCCCCTGCTTTGGTTAGGATGCCCTGTCTCAAGGCTGTTGGTTTATTTGAAGTATTTCTATCTAGTCTTTTAGTCACAAAAAATTACAAAGCAGCTTACAATAACAAGCAGATAAAATAGGAACCGTTTTTTTAAAGCAAGAACTAAAAAAGCAGCAGCAGTAAAATACCAATATTACTGCGTCTTATGAAGCTAGGCAAATAAAATAACTTGAACCTGGTGTCTAACATTAACCCAAGTGGGTACCAGGTGGGTGCCTGCAAAAAGAGTGTTCCAGAAAAGGGGTGCCACTACACAAAAGGCCCTATTCTCTGGTGCTTCGATTACCCAATTGCTGGGAGGGGGGTGGAGAACCAGAGTCATGGGAACAGAATAGTAGTAGAGTTGGGAGGGGCCTACAAGGCCATCGAGTGCAACGCCTGCTCTGCCTCCACACAAAGTCACCCATCCAGTGGCAGGCCAATGCCTTTCCAGCTTAGCAAAGGGGACTCGACATGCTGGCTCAATGGATAGCTATGCAGGCTAGGTAGGCAGCCAGGAGCAGAGAGATACAGAGAATGTTGATGCTCCAACCACTGGATAATGATACTCAGCAATCTTTGTCTTGCCTTCGCACCTTCCAGTGCAACATGTGCAGCCATACACAAGTTTTTAGAAGAAAATGCTGCGATGCTCAAAGGGGTGATTTCTGTAACAGTCGAGTACACCTATGTCTCGGGATGGAACTATAAGGCTGCAGGAAAGCTACCTCTCAGCAAATCACTTTTGATTTGCTCTCTTGAGTTTGATTGTTGATTTGATATAAGATGCTGGTTTTATGTGGAATTGTTTTCAATGCATCTTACTATTCTGAGAACTACTGAAACAGGGTAAATTAGGCATGTTTTGGTAAATAAATGCAACTCCTCCTCCAAAGTAAAGCATGACTCACACTGACCCCACTGCAGGTTCATGATCTAGGAGCCCACAAGTAGGGAGTGGGGCAGGGCAAGGTACCCCACGCTGGCGGCTCCACGTTTGAGGCTTCTCGGCATGAGGGGTCTATTGTCTGCTTGCAGCCCCTCACTCAGGAAAGTCTATGGGTCTGTTTCACAATGTTCTCCTCCTCCCAGGCCTCTCCCACTTTTTGCGGCCATTTTCACGGCAAACTAGACTCTATTTCTGAAAACCTTTCTTTTAGTAACCCTCAACCCCACCCCTCTGGGAGTGTCCCTCTGGAGATGGGCAAGCCACCCAGCCCTGTGCAGGCCCTCTAGTTGGGTAGCCTTCTCTCCCAGTACCGCACCATGAGGTCAAGGATTGGACCAGACACCTTTGACTCCTCTCCCCGGTCCTCACTCCCAGCAATCCTGAACTTCCTCAGTTCCCAGGATCTGCCTGGACACCTGGAAATGGTGGCCTTGAGTTAAGCTCTTCCTTTCCACCATCTTGCAGGCCTCATTTCCCTGGGCTCACCATCCTCATCCGACGAGTCAGTGCCACTCTAGCCCTGAAACCTCTGCCTCTTTCATTCCCAACAAGCTGCAAGAGAAACACCTCCTGCCCCGCAGCTGCACAGTTCTGCCTCAATGGCTCTGCGCCATGGAATAAGAGCCCATGGGATGGCCAGGGAGAGGAAAAAGCACACATGTGCCTCCTTAGACTTCTCCTTAGAAATGGTTTGATCCAGATAGCAAGAGAGCTTGAACTGCCAGCACGAAGTGAGCCAACACCTCGAGGTTCCTGGAGGTCCGCTATGCCACCAGAATGCCTCTGTTGCCCACGCCTGCACTCATTTAACATAGAGTACACTTTTGGCTTCCCCTCCTCGCCCAGTGAAGGCTCTGTCATGTGGCCTGTCCTCCTCAGATGTGAGGAAGTAAATCTGAACTGATTCTGATGTGAAGTTGTGAAGTCTTTCTTTTACACACACATGCACACTCTCCCTCCCTCCCCCCAGCCATATGGCAACCCACCACCTCCCTGTTCAACTGTTTGGGAAGTCTACCAGGACACATTTGTAGGACCTTCCAGATGCTCTGGATTCCAACTTCCTGGACACCCATCCAGCACGGCCAATGAGTTGTAGTCCAAAACATCTGGAGGGCACTGGATTGGGCCAGGCTGCTTTTAAGCTAGGATGTGTGCATTCACTAAACTGGATAACAGCCTAAAACAAACAAACCAACAAGTTTCACCAATCTAAGCATAAACTCGTCCTTGGATCAGAAACTGTGGTGACCCTGGATTAGTTTATACATGAATGACTTATGCATGCTATAGGAAGGGAATGGCTTGCATGTGAGAATGGGCCAATAAAACAGACACAACATTCTTTATTTAGGAATTTATACCTCAAAATGGAGGTGCTTCAGGTAGATTTACAGGCAGTGCTTTCATCTCTGCTCACATGGCTTCAAGAACAAAGGCCGGAGGTTGAAATCCAGGACGTGTGGAGACACCGGACTGGGGAAGCCTGTGTTACTGATCTCCCCGTCTTGTCAAGATTTCTGCGTCTCTATTCTAAAGAACTTGGCTTTCCACACACTGCCCTGCCTCTCTCCTTCTCCTGGACTGGTCCCACCCCATGGCCTACGAGTGCAGACTCACCGACTTGTGTCTTTTTTTCTTGCTTTTCTTCTTCTGCCTCTTGGAACGCCTGGTGCTGTGCTCTGCAGGTAAAGGGGGGAAAGCGACCGCATCTGGACACTACCCTGCCACTGGGAACCCCCAAAGAGGTCCAATGCCCAGTGCATCCTGTGGGCACACCTCCTGTCGGTTCCAAGGGGGGCACAGTGGAGTGGCACAAAATCAGTGGGATCACCTATTTCATCCCACAGTCTGCCTTGGGAAGTGGTGGGCAGAGCTGCACCACAGTGGCAGAGGCCCTGCTCTGCATGCAAAAGTCCCAAGTTCAAGCACCAGCATCTCTGAGCAGGGCTGGAAAAATGCTCTGCGCTGAGGCCTTGACACTGGTTCCTGAGCAGGGTTGACAGTACTAGATTAGGCTGACCCAGGGTTGGACTGAATGCAGAGCCGCTTCCCAGGTTCCCACACCAGAGGCTTTCAGGCAGAGGCCGGGTGGCCACCTACGGGGTGCTCCTGCCTCGGTGGGGTGAGGAAGAGATTATCCCTGGGAGCAGCTTGGCGAGTCCTGTGGATTCCTTAATTCCCTCACCTGCAAGCAACATCTCTGGGTTCCATGTAAGGACATCCTGCTGCTGGGGCCTGGCCTGAGGACGCAAAGATGACCTGTCCCCTCAAAATGCCATGCTCCTACCTGAATCCGGAGAGGAAGATGCCCCCGAGCCAGCTGATTCCGAATGGTTTCGTTTCTTGCGCTTGGCTGTGCGGTGGGGATGGTCTGAGCCTGACTCTGAGCCCTGCAGGGGGGAAACCGGGCTCACCAGGCAGCCACAGCAAAAGGGAGGGGGCACCCATGGTCAGGCAGCAGGGCGTGAGGGAGTTCATAAAGCTCAAGTGGGAGGCCTGGGCTCAGGTGCAAATCCAGCATGTGCTTTCCAGCCAGTGTCCTGCCACTCTGCTCGTGTGCCATTCCACACTCACACCAGACTCCAGCCCATCCCTTACAGCAGCCATAGACCACCTGGCACCCACCTGATGATTGGACTACAGCTCCCATTATCCCTGGTCAGCATAGCCACAAGCGGGAGTCTTGGACCAAACCATGTGGAGGACACCAGGTTGCCTACCTCTGCTTTACCCTAGCCCTCAGCTTGCATAAAGGAAGTGACACCTCCCTCCCTCTCTCTCTCTCACACACACACAACACTGCAGCACCAGCTGTTTTCAAAGCAGCAAAGCACCCACAGGTTGCCTGCCTGTTGTGTGCAGTTCAGGTGTCTTCCGAGAGGCTGCATGTGGGTCACGGGGAGGCCGACCTCCTCTACACATGCTGCAAAATGGGATGGCAGCACCCTGAGGCAGGTGGCAGGACTGCACCATTATGCACATGCACAAGGGTGCCAATTTGGAACATTTCACATTGAAAAACAAGAAACCAGCTCCTTAAAAATTAAGGGAAGTTAAGTGCTAGACCAACCCTTCCAGTGTGGAATAGTTAATTTATTTCATTTTGATTGATGTTGTAAGCCATCCAGAGACAGAAGTATTGGACAGCGTACAAATTTTATAAATAAATAAACAAACCCTTCTGAGCTAAGATTTTTATTTCTGTATTTTTTACTTCTAGGAAATCAGGTTCATGGGGTGGCATCCAAAAGGGTGCTTCCCCGCCCTACAGCCTGAAGCATTAAAGTTAATTCCATCACCTCGTTCTCCTCCAGGTACAGACCCTTGACGTTTTCCTGGCATTTCTGCTCCTGCCACTCTAAATGCCAACAGCAGAGTTCTGAACAGGCTGAGAGGGGGTCAGCAGTGCCCTGATGCCCAAGGGGTCCCCCCGCACCACCGCTGCACCTTGGTCACCTCCTGCCCCCCACCTGCTGCCACCCACTCCCGGCCTCACCGAAGCCGAGCGCTTGCGATGGTGCTTCTTGGGCTTCTTGGCGTGCTTCTTGGCCTTGGCATGGAAATGCTGGCACTCCGTCTGCGGGGGAGAAGGGTGGCCAGGGGGTTAACCCAGAACTCATCAGAGCGGTGCGCTCCTCAACTCCATCCTCTCTGCCCCACTGCTTCCGGGCTTTGCTCAGCGATCCCACCCCACCAATCCTTGCAGGGTTCTGGAGCAGAAGTCCCCAGTGGAGCACGGATCCCCCCAGGCCCTGCTCACTTCCAGCAGCTGCAGGAACTCGCGGAAGAGGCGGATCCGCTCTGACTCCAGCGTGATCTGCTCAAAGGCGATGTGATTGACGAAGCGCTCTCGGACCTGGGGGGAAGACAAAGATGCGTGGCTCATGCCCTTGGCTGGGCTGTGCAAGGCTATGGACAGGTCACCCAGAGGGTGGAGGGGTGGCCACGGGGCTGCTATCCTATGATCACTGAAGCAGTGGCATCGTGCCTGCTAAACAAACACTTTTTGAGGGAGTGCCAACATGGCTTTATGCTGCAGAAGCGGACATTTGCAAAGCAGGCACCGGAAGAAATGCATTAATGAGACTGCCTCAGAGCCCAAAGAGACCGCGCCTGCTGAGGTGTCTCTACACAGCTCACGGCTCCTATTTGGCTGCCGTGCCCTTGGCCTCAACAGGGAGTGGATGACTCCAGCAGTGTCTCCTTACTGGGGGCAACCGAATAGCCCCGCTGGGATTGATGCAACATAGCGGGAGAACATCCTGCCCTCCAGGGGAGGCTGCCCAATGCATCTGCCGAAGAATCACTGCTCTGGGCTCGTTGTGTCCAATGAGGAGGCACAGAAGGACAGGGGGCAAAGGGCTGCTCCAAGGGCGAATTGCTCTCCCGACCCCAATGCTCAAAAGGAAGCCGGAATCTGTGCTATGCACCCACCCAGATGTGACGGGCCAACAGATGGGGGGACCCTGGACAGCCCAGCAGGGATGCGCCGGCCAGGAGAAGCAGGAGAGCTCACCTCATCCCAGGCGGTGCTCGGCTCCAGTGGGGGAGCTGCCTGCCGCAGCATGCTCTTGAACGCGGCCTCCTTGCGCCGCATCTTGCGTGTTTCTTCCTTCTCCCGTTCACGCTCCCGTGCCTCGGCCTTCTCCAGCAGCTGCGTGGGGCAGACAGAGGCATCACCGCATGGCGTCCCTGCTATTTGGCCACAGAGCCCCTCGTGACCACTGTGTGTGGGGGGCACCTCATCAGGAGGGCACCCTGACAGCTGTCGGCACCAGCTGCTCACGCTCCTCACTCCATTTCTCCTTGCTGCCACTGCTGGCTTGCCTGAGAAGCCAAGGGCCAGCGGGCAAGGTGGCTGCAGCGTCTCCTGCCCCCCCCCCCCCCGCCTCTTTTGTCCAGGCCAGAGCGAGGGGGCGGGCGAACAAGTGGGCTGCACTGGGGAAGCAGAGCCGCTTTTGTCCCCTGCCGAGAGGGCCTTGACGAGGGTTGGCCATGCCTGCCATCGACCCCGTCCCAGCCCCTGGTTCCCCCAGCCTATGACAAGCAAAGGATCCTCCCTGGGCAGGAGCCCAACTCTGTGCAGTGCCGCGTTCTCCCCACAGAAGCAGCCACCCAAAGGCCGTCCTGGGAAAGCCGGCAGGCACAGGGTGAAAGCAGCAGCTCCTGTCCTTCGTCCCCGGCACCCTGTGGTGGACTCTCCCTGGATAATGAGGTTCCAGTGACACTCTTTTGGCCGGAAGCTGTGGACAGACCTGTCCGCCCATCTCTTTGCCTGAGGAGCTTTTCTAAAAGTCACCACTGTTATCTCAGTGACATGCAAGATCTCGGCCTTCCCCAGCCTGGCACCAGGTTAGGGGTGGCCTCGTTCTGTGGAGCCACCTACTCCTGTCTATCCTCAACTTACCTCTTCGAGCAGCCTTCCCAACCCGATGCCTTGCTGAAAGTTTGGGTGACAAGCCCTAGGATTCCTTGCCACTGGCCCATTCAGGATAGGGATGCTGGGAGTTGAAGTCCAACACATTTGGAGAACACGGGGTTCCACAATTTGTCTTGGCATCTCCATTGCATGGCCCCCAAGGCCCTAGTGCTGGAATGCAGAACTACAGGCTGAGAGGGCAACCCCAGGGCTTCCCCAGAAGGGCACACCCCCCTTCCTCTGTTCACCCATTGTTTTGTGGCTTCCCAGTTTGGGAGTAGGTTTCCCTCCCCCAGTTCTTAAAGCCCGAAATGACTCTTCCACAACTTAGCTGTTGGTGGTAAGAGCTTTAAGCTGACAATGACAGAACCTGGGACATTCTGGCCATGCCCCTCTTGTTCTCAGCCCCTCCAACCACTGGAATGCAGCCTCCAGAAGCATCTCCAAAAAGGAATCTGGCTCCTGGGCCGAGAGAGATTCCCCACCTCTGCCTCAGCATTTCCAAGAGAAAGAGAGAACGCCCACTCTCTGGTATGCCTCACAGAATCATGGAATAGTAGAGCTACAAGGGGCCATGAGGGCCACTGGGTCCAACCCCATTGGTGGACGTCACCAATTAACACCATCCCACTCAGTTGACTGTCCGGTTTCTCCTTGAATGTCTCTGGTGTGGGAGAGCCCCCCACCTCTCCAGGCAGCTGGTTCCACTGCCGTATTGCTCTGACAGTGAGGAATTTATTCCTGGTGTCTAGCCTGAATCTGGTGTGCTGCAGTTTAAGTTCATTGTTCCATGTCTGACTCCCTGGGTCGAGTGAGAAGAGGTCTTTTCCTTCCTCTTTGTGACAGCCTTTGAGGTACTTATAGAGGGATATTCTGGGTTCCCCTTCCCAGCCTTCTCTTCTCAAGGCTGGACATGTCTAGTTCTCTCAGTCTCTCCTAGCGGGGCAGTGGTTCCAAATCCTGGGTCACTTTTGTTACCCTCCTCTGGACCCCTTCTAATTTTTCTGCAACTTTCTTAAATCTGGGTGCCCAGAACTGGGCACAGTATTCCATCTGAGGTCTGACTAGTGAGGAGTATACAGAAACTACTACTTTTCATGATTTGGAAGTAATACTTCTGTTAAAGAATCCCAAAATAACATTTCCCCTTTCGGTAGCTGCATTGCATTGTTGGCTCATATTTAGCCTACTGTCCACAATAACTCGAAGGGCTTTTCCTTCTTCAGCCTTGGCTTCTCTGTTTTGAGCAAATGCCTGTCAGAGCCAAGGGAGCTCTGTCTCTGTATCGAAGAGGCCCCTGGATTCCTGCCTCCCACAGCACCTCCTGGCCAGAAAACACACAGCGCATCTTGTGCTGGCAGCCCACCGATCCCTGCACCACTTACGCTGTTGAAAGTCAGCTTAATGTTGCCAGCATCCAGTGTGGCAGCACGCTTGTCGAAGCTGATGACGTGGGCAAAGTCTTCAAAGGTTGTGTTGACTTCCACGCTGAAGCTCCGGTCCTACTCAGGAGCAAGGGGAGGGTGAAGGAGCAGGAGCAGAAGAAAAGATACAGTTAGACACTTTCCCTCCCCTCAGAGTCCCAAGATTTCCCTCTGAGCGATGCAAAAGCAGCAAGGAGCCCAGAATAGGAAAAAGGGGTATCCTGTTCACTTTTGATGCACTTGCTGAAAACCACAGGTCTAATCCTTGCATCAGGCCTAGTAAAGTCTTTTTTCTTGCTCAATATCCAGTCTGAAGACCTCTAGCTAAAACCTGGCTCAGGGGGAGGGGAGGGAACTAGCTCAGATGGACTCTGGATGCTGAATTCTTACTCCTCCTGACCATCAGGAGAAATATGATTAAAATATACTCAAATTAAGATCAAGAAATACTGAAAAACGCATGAAATGTGAGTTAATTCCTTTGTCTCTCTCCTGGGAAGATTTGAAGCTCAGATGTGGACTGTGAGACTGTTTGTTCATACAATCGGAAAATTGCTGGACTCAGTCCAGAGTAAGCTAGCACCTCTGCTGTATTTTTTTTGAGTTTAAAAACAGCAGGAGAAAAAGGAGTGTTGAAGTTGTTGAAGAAAGTTTTAAAAAAGCTCTAATTTGCAGATAGACTTCCCCTCTCCTCCCGCGCAATTACAAAGCTGAGAAGATGACGAAAAAGAAAATACTGGGATAGAGCTTTGAGGAACATATATCAAAGTTAATTAATGTCCCACAATTAGTTTCTCTGTGTTATTTTGCTACTACAGAGATAAAAGATAAGATAAAGAGAAGAGGAAGTGACGTATTGACATATAGGGGCTGAAAGAGGACAAAAAGACTGTATTTTGCGAATGGCAATTTTTGAGCTCCCTCTGCTGGCTAGAAGTTAAATTGCAGCTGTTGAAAAAAGAGATCTATATGCTGACTGAAAGCTAAATAGCAATTGTGGTCTGTATACAAGTCATTACTCAATTTAAGCATTCTTTCCTCCTAGTTGGATATTAATTTAAGATTTTCTCTGGTATCTGGATGTCAAAATGTAACAAGAGTGTAGAAAGCATCTGGCAAAGATCTAAAGTGAAACTTCACCCATCGGATTTGCATTTGAAAAGAGTAGAGAAAATTTGTGAAATGAATGGGAAAAAGAGATCATCACTGGAAAAATCAATGCCAGCAGCTCAACCATCAACACAACCAGACAAGCCTGATATACTTTTACAGAAATTCAGAGAAATGAAGACTGATACCAAGCAATTAAATGTCAAAATAGATAATATGGATGTAGAAATAAAAGATTTAATTAAATAAACTCAAGAGAATAAACAAACAATCAAAGAAGTGAAAATTCAGATGGAAGAACAAGAGAAAGAGTTAAAAAAAAACCAGATTACCAAGATAGACCAGGTCTCAAAAAGTGTGATTGAGATCTGGGACAGACAACAAAGAATGAACCTACAACTTAAAGCATGGGCCCTCAAACTATGGCCTGTGGGTTGGATCTGGCCCACCATGCTCATTTATCCAGCCCATGTCTAATTGGGTTTTTGTTATGTTTTTGTTGGAGCGTTTATGTAATCTCATATAGAGACCAAAAAGATGTATTGAAAGAATGCGAAAAATATTAAAGATAGTGTCTTGGAATATAAATGGCTTGGGAGAAAGACATAAACAAGCTAGAACTGACAAATTTATTCATAAGGAAAAATCAGATATTATATTTTTACAAGAAACACATCAAAAGAAAGATGGAGTGAATGAATTAAAATTATACTGGGTAGATGTATACGAAAAATCATACAGCACATCAAAATCAAGAGGTGTTGCAATTATTGTTGCTAAAAGATGTGAATTTAAAACAAAAGCTATAAAAAGAGATCATTTGGGGAGATTTCTTATAATACAAGGTCTGATTTACGGACAAGCAGTGACTTTAGTTAATATATACGCACCTAATATAAATCAAAGGGAGTTTTATGATAAGGTATATAAAGAAATAGAAGAAATAAAAAGAATATGTGATAATGGTGGGTGATTATAATATAGTTATGGATAAAGAAAAAGATAAATCTAACCCATCAAAGTTAGATACAAAATATGATAATACAGATTAAGTAGATTTAGGTAGATTAAGTAGTAGTAAAATCAGATTTAAAGAAGTTTGGAGAGAGTTAAATGGGAACCAGAAAAGTTATACATTTTATTCAAATAGACATTTTACAAGAACAGAGGATATATCTGTAACACAAGAAATATTGTCTAAGATGGTTGATGTAGATATAAAAGTTATTAAAATATCAGACCATGCAATGATAACAATGGAAATGGAAATAAAATATGATTATAGACAGGCAAATAGATGGAGGATAGATTTATGATTTTTAAGAATGAGAAGATTCTAGAAAAAATGGAAAAAGAATTGAAAGAAATATGGGAAATAAATGTAAAAGGAGGTAGTAATACAAGTGTAATATGGGATACAATGAAAGCAGTGGTAAGAGGGCTAGGAATAAAATATTCATATAATCTAAAAAAACAAAAAAGAGCAATATATAACAAGATTAGAAGAAGTTAAGAATTAGAGAAAATATATAAAAAGTAGAGAGCCAAAATTATGCTAGAATTAACAGCAAAAAGAAAAGAAATACAAAATATTGAAATAGAACAAGTTCAAAGAAATCTAATTTACTTGAAAAGAGAATGTTATGAAAATAATAATAAAAATTCCAAAATGCTGGCCAGAGCCACACAAATCAAAAAAGCAAAAAAATTAATTGGAGTAATAAAGAATGAAAAAGGGGAAAGATGTAACAAGATGGAAGAAAAACTTTTAATTTTTCAAAGGTTTTTTGAAAAGTTATATAAGGGGAATGAAATAGATTTGAAAGAATGTCAGATATCTATAGAAAAGAATTTAAAGTGTAAAATTCGAGAAGAGGATAAGGAAATCATGGAAACTTGAATAGAAGAAGATATATTGGAAGTGATTAATAAATTGAAAATAGGTAAAGCACCAGGATCTGATGGATTGGGTGTTGAATATTATATAAAAAAATTAAAATTACTAGTGCCTAAGATGAAATGGATGTTTAATAAAATAATGGAAGGGAAAACAATTCCAAATTCTTGGAGACAATCCTTGATAGTGCTGATAGCAAAACCTAATAAAGATCTTACAAACCCTGGATCCTACAGGCTGATATCTCTTATTAATCAAGATGCGAAGATTTTTACAGCGATATTGGTAAATAGATTGAATAAATTTATAGATAAATATATAAAGAATGATTAATGTGGGTTTATAAGAGGTCGACAAATGTCAGACATAATAAGGAGAATATTAAATATTAACTAGTATATTGAGAAGCAAAATATAAAGGCAAGCATATTAGCATTAGATATATTTAAAGCCTTTGACTGTGTGGAATGGCCAACAATGAAGATCTTAATAGAGAAGATGGGATTTGGAACAAAGTTAAGAAAGTAATAAATCAATTATATTGAGATAATACGTCAAAATAATTGTAAATGATGGTATTACAGAAACAATAACCCTAAGCTGAGGAATGAGACTGGGTTGTCCCTTATCCCCAATATTATTTGCTTTAATGATGTAAGTATTGCCAAATGCAATTAGGAATGATATACAGATAGAAGGAATTGGAGTATGTCAGAAAATTAAAATTAATTTATTTGCAGATGATACATTGTTAACATTTCAAGATCCAATAAATACAATAGGTCAGGGGTCTCAAACTCGGGCCACTTGCCGGGAAGGGCGGGGCATGGGGAGGAGCCCTGCGGCCTTCAAAGCGCCGGCGGTCCCTGGGCCGGCCTCTGGGAGCCACGCGGGATGAGCGGCCCCCCACCACCGTGGTGGTGGAATACTTGATGCGGCCCAGCCTAACCCAGACTCTACTTCCAGCGGCCCCCAGGTAAGTTGAGTTTGAGACCCCTGCTATAGAGAGAGTATATTCACATTTAAAGGAATTTGGGAAGTATAGTGGGTTGCAAGTAAATTGGGAAAAATCGGAAATGATGTTATATAATCACAATAGTGAAGAATTGGATATATTAAAAGAAAAATATAAATTAGAAATAGTAGACAGCATTAGATACTTAGAAATTGATATTCCAAAAAAATAGTCAAGAATTAAAGAAGAAAAAGTATGAAAAGTTAAAGAAGGATATAAAAGATAAATAGGAAAATATAAAAAGGTAAAATTATCATGGTTTGGAAGAATAGTAGTAACAAAAATGAAAATTCTGCCAAAGATTAATTTTTTGTTTTGGATGATTTCAATCAAGTTTTATGATCAAGAATTCAAGGAAATGCAGAAGTTATTGGAGGTTTAATGTAATGGAGGGAAGAGAGCAAGAATAAGTAAAGCACTATGGTATGAATCACAAAAAAAGGAGGGCTGGGCATTCCAGATGTTAAAAGGTATTGGGTTGCAAATCAATTAAAGATAGTTCCAGATATTATAGCCCAAAGCAAAGAATTAAGATGGAGTGATATTGAATTAAAAGAATTAAGGTAAAGAGGTGCTCACTTAGAGACATACTGGTTTAAAAAGGATATTTAAAAGATTATTAAGAGAATTCAAAATCCTTTTTCAAAATATACAATGGAAGTATGGGAAAAAAGGAGACAACAGTTAATTCTGGGAATTTCTCCATTAAGTCCAGTGGTCGAAATGGAGAATTTCCCAAAAATAGAATTAAAGGTTTGAATTAATAAATTAAAAATAATCATATGTATAAATAGGAAGACGGGAAAAATAAGATAAAAATATAACACAATTAAGGAGTATATTGGCAGAGGTCAAATTAAATTGGTTAAATTTAATTCATTTAGAAAAATGGATAAAGATGGAGGATAAATTTAAAGCGGAAGAAAGACAATTAACAAAATTTGAAATGATTGTGAAAGAATGTGAGATTAAGGAAGAATATACAAGCAAAGCAAGAATTGCTAAAATTTATAGGATATTAATAGAGTTAGGGGATCAGACAAAAAGTTTAAAATCTATTTGGGAAATGGATGTAGGTGAAATAAAAGACAAGGATTGGAAGAATATTTGGAATAAAAGAGTATATAAGAATATGTCGGTTAGAATGAAAGACATGGATATAAAGTGATATGGAGATGGTACTTAACACCAGTTAAGTTAAATCAAATTGATGATAAATATTCTAATATATGTTGGAGATGTGGGGAAGGAATTGGAACTTAGAAACATATGTGCTGGGATTGTGATAATATACAAAAGATTTGGATTATGGTATTTAACAAAATTAGAGGAATTTTAGATATTGATTTAGAAATGTCACCGAGAATTGTGTTATTGCTGTTGATTTAAAAACAAGATATAAATGAAGTCAAGAAAGAATCGATCCTAAGTTTGATAATGGCAGCCAGGTTAGTGATAGTTAAATATTGGAAACAGAATTGGGATATGTAAACAGAATGGTATAATGAAATATGGAATATAGTAGTTAATGATAAACTTACAACAGAAATAAAAATTTTAAAAGGGTTAATAAAAGTAAATAAATATAATGAAATTTGGGAAGATTTTGTAAAAGCAGTATTGATAGAAGGTAAAGTTTGTAAGTCTAATCAAGATTATATAAATTTTTGGAGGGGATATGGATATGATTGAAGCATATTATATATTGTTAAATGTTATAATAAATGAAATGAAATGGAGGTCTCCTGGGTGGTGGGGGCACAGTATTATTTGCTTCTTTACTTATTAGTTGGGTTTTGTGCGTTATAATATTGATATTGTGATGTTTGTATTTATGTATTTATTTTTCTTTCTGTATTTAAAAAAATAAAAGGGGGTAACAAAAAAAGACCTCTAGCAAAATCCTGGCTCAGTAGCTTGAGATAGTTTAGCTGAGGGATAAGTGGACATGGGGCCCACCAGAGGGTTTTTTGTTGGACTACAAGTCCCATCATCCCCCATTAGCTATGGTGACTGCAGTTCAACAACAGCAAGAGGGCCATGCCCTCCCATTTTATCAGGCCTAGGCTCTGGGCCTTCTTCCTAATGGCTCGGAACAGCCATGGCAGAACTGTGTCATTCACACTCCAAGTCATTCCTGATGGTGTCCAACTAAAGAGCAGAGGAACTCACTGGAGGATGGGTTTTTCAGATTGGTTTGACTCCCAGGCATCATCCCCTTTTTTAATTCGGAGAAGCAGAATTGGCATGAGGCTGACAGCACATTTTCCTTTTGAAGTGCAACTGGTGCAAATATTAAAACATGGTGGATACTCCGCTCAACCAAGGAAAGGGTATTTCAAGTGGCACTGTGGGTTCATTGTCAGCCTAAAACGCTTTTCACGGAGGAGAAATGAATGGTTCAGTTCCCTCCCCACAAGTCAAGCTTCCTAACACTGGCCAAGTTATTTTCGCCCAAGGCAGAAAATGCCACAAGCAACTCTCCTTGGCCATAATAAATTAACAATAGCAATAGCAATAACACATTAAGGGCTTGATCCTAGCATGTTTAGAGAGAACCCACAACTCCCAGAATTCCCTCAGGGCCAGTCCTGGCCTGGAGCAGGAGTTTTCATGCCAATTGCACTCCTGAGACTCACTTTTAGAGAATTCAGAATTAAGTTAAACTGACACGAGGAAGAGCAGACAATGTACTTTTCACCGTGCAAGTGAAACTGACATGCATGTTATATCAAACCAGGCAGGTTTCCTGCTTGGCAAAAAAGAGGGTCCTTTCAAAGAGCACTATGGGCTCATTGCCAAGGGAAGGAGCTTGCCGCCACCAGAGCCCAAGGGAGCTGGCCCGCCACGGAGAGGCCTGCAGGTTTCATTCTCCCCCTGCCCTCCCGTGCCCACTCTGGCCACACCTTCAGAATGTCCTTGATGATCTTCTTTTCGTCATGGAAGCGGGCCTTCAGATCCTCCACATAGAACTTGAAAAGGTCCAGCGGGGTGGAGCCTGTGGGCGGAAGAGCAGCAAAGCGCAGCCCATTTCAAGTGGGCTCCTTCCATGGGAGCATCTCTGATGAGAGCTTTTCAAACAGCCCCGGGATTCCTGCGATGCTTACTGGGGTCTATCTATGAGGGTATCGGTAAATGGCACACCAAGGCACGTTGCCTGGGAGACCCCAGCCCGCCACTACGAGCCTCCCTCTGGGACTTGCAGAATCGGGAGTGTGCATTCTGCAGCACGCTCTTGGTAAAGGCTGGATGGCACGCAGAGCCTCGCACAGCCCTTGGGCTGAACGCCATTGCAGAGACATTTTGGGGAGGCCACACATGGGTGGTGGGCACAGCTAAATGCAAAGGGGGACAGAGTCGAAGGCAAATGGGGCAGGGCCAGCCCCCTCCCCCCCATACTCCAGCTTAAAGCTCTCCCTGCCAGTAACCAGCTTTTAGTGAAGGAATTTTCACTTTCAAGAGTGCAGCAGTGTGGTGGTGAGGAACCATACAAACATGGGAAGCAATCGGTGGCATCAGAGGGCTGAGCAAAGGGGCCACAACCATGATAAAGGGTTGCCTGGCATCAAAGGCAGTGTGGAAGACCCCACCTCACCCCATCTCAAATGGCATGTTGAAATCTGCCAGAACAAGGTAGGAGGAGCGGCCTTCCAAACCAACCTGAGGCTGATAGCCTGCCTAGGCCAGCCCCAGATTCCAGACCTTCGAACATAGCTCTGCATGCTGGGAACTTCAGGTTTAATCTTCAGCATTTCCCATGAAAGGAACTCGGGGATTAATCCTTTCACAGGAAATGCTGAGGACCAACCCTGGGATTTTCAGCATGCAATCTGTTACCAGTGAGTCATGCCTTCCTGAAGATTAGAAAGTGGAGGAGGAATGGCGAGAGCGCCTGGGCATCCAAGCTGCCAGAACTTCTGTGCCACTGCCATGGCACCACAGCTGGGGACCACTTCTCTTTCAAGGGCTGCACTCCCTTGCAGAGAACCTGTTGGGGACCTTGTGCCTTCCAAGGGGTGGGGGAACTGAAGCTAAAAGTGGGTGAGGCACCCTTTTTCTCTCTCTTTCTCCCCACTGCCTCACCTCTGACTCCACTCCCCCCCGACTGCCCAGCCCCTGGGGGTGCGGGGAAAGGCACCTTCCTCTTGCCGGAGGCTTGAGGAGGTCTTTTCCAGCAGGCTTTTGAGGTGAAGGACACAGATTGTCCCAGCCCATCTTGCCCTCCCAACCAACATCTCATGCAGCTTTCTTGTTTGCCAAAAGTGCTTTTTAAAGCTAGCTGCATGGACAAGCATCACTTTTCGCAGAAGCAGGACTGCGAGCATTCAGGGCTAGCAACCTTCTTGGCTGGGACACAATTGCACCACACCAGCTTGGCCAAACAGGGATTGGGGTACCATGCGAGAAAGAGGGGGACCCACCTCTCTGGCATTTTGGCCCCTGACTACATATCTAACCTGGTATGTGCACCTACTGCTCCAAGGGAGGGGTCTTTTCTCCTGAAGTCCACCCCACATACCACCCAGAAAGACCCGATTATCTCCTTCCGTCCATCCGTCCTTCCTTCCTGGGAGACCCATTCCTGATAAAAGGTGGCGGGGGTGGGGGGAGAATTCCTGCCCACTGCTGCTTACCAGGCTGGCCCAACATGTTGGCAAAGCGTCTGTCAGTGCTGAGGGAGGGGTACAGCTCCATCCAAGTGGACATGGAGTGCAGGCGCCCGCATTCATGAAGCTCGTCCAAGAAGGCCTGAGCAAGAAGCAGCCTGGTTATTCTACGATAGAGTGAGAGAGATCGGGGAGTCAGCCCCTCCCCCATTTACAGGCCCTGCCTGGGGAGGGCACATGCCCCATAGCAGGCCCTGAATCCCTCACCCCACTCTGCACCTCAAGAGAGTTCATACTGGGGTCCCCTTCAGGCATGTCCCCCAAAACAGGAACATTCCTGGTGTACATGCCCCAATCCACAGATGTGTAGAAAAGGCGGCAGCTGTTGTATCTGAGGCCACTGGAACATCAAGAGCTGCTGCAGCCTTTTCCAGATTTTATGTCTGCAGAGATACGTTGAATGTGCATGGGCAATGGCTACTGAAATCTCAGGATCTTGTTCCCCGACTCCTGGAAATCTTGTTCAGCAAGCTGCTGGCATGTCCAGTTTCCCCAGGCATTCCTCACCATGTCAAGCATATCTTATAAAGGCTAGAAGGGTGCATTTCATCTAAAAATCCAGGTTCCATGGAAGCTGAATTCCATGCTCATTGCCAAAGGTGGTGCTTTTCCTGCATTCACATGGACTGCAACCTGCCTGTAGACCTAATCATTAAGACTCCTACATCCCTCTACCCCTCCAAGAAATGCCCTGGCCTGCTTTGTCACAACAGTATTTCGTGAGTGATTGAATTTATAGGCTACTCTTTACAATTTTTCTAAAATCACAGATTGGTTTGCAACCAATAATTAAAATACAAGAATGAAAATGCACCAATAAAACAATGTTACAAGATCAGCCACCCAGTAGATAATAAACACAATGCTATTTGAACAAAACAAGACACATCGAGGGCCTTGTGAAGAACATCAAAAAGAGCTGAAGGATGAAGTGGTGCCATCAGAAGCCACCAGTGAAACCAAACTACTGAAAATTCCAGATGTGCCTCTGAAGGCAGGAAGTTCCATAGCAAGAGAACCACAACCAAGAGGGCCCTTGGCCAGGCATGAACCACAGGGCTTGAAAACTCAGAAGGTCTGGTACGTGTTAAGGCCTGGTACGCATTAAGAGAGGCATTCCAGCATGTTCAACATGCTTCCATGGGAATGTGAACGCCAGTCAGGGCTTCTTTTGCTCTGTGATTGCCAGTGATTGTGTGATGCATTTGCCTTCAGATGATAGACAGCTGAAACACTGGGTCAAGGTTGCAAAACGTGCAGTCCACCAAGTCATTTCTGGTGACCCTCCAGGTGTCCCCTGAAAAAACCCCCCGCATTTTCCTGGCTAGCGCTAGTGAGGGAACCCCTTCTTTGCCTCCACCTGGAAGTGTGTGGGCGGTGGGTGTGCACGTGCACACACATTTGCGTGTGTGCGCAGGTACAACCCCTGGGGCTGCCCAATGTGGCCCGAGGCTGAGAGGGCTGTGCACCCCTGAGCTTGGAGACGTGTATCTGATAATAAAAGGGGTCAGAGCACAGAACCGTGCAAGTTGCTCCACACTGACCAGACCCCTGGATCCATCCACCCCATTGTTATCGAAGGCTCTCCAGGATCGCAGGCAAAGGAGGCCTTTCTCATTACCTGCTCCTGGATCCTGTTAAGGAAGATGCCATGGACTGAGCCACACGCAGCTTCATGTGCCACCCACACGTCTCCTTTCCAAGGGTGGCTCAGGGTTGCCCCCCCCAGCCATGTGCTCCAGCCTAAGGCCACAGCTGCAGGTACCTGGAAGGCCTCCCTGTTCTTGCGCTGCTGGCGCCTCTCTCGCAGACGCCCTCGCTCGCGCTCCTCCTCCTCCTCTCTTTCCAGCGTCCGGATGTGTTCCTCAAAGCAGATGAGGGCATCCTCCTTGTCCATGTCTGAAAGAGGCAGAGGCGGGAGGGACCCGTGCTCAGCTGGGCAGCAACACCATCATGGCACACGGGGAAGAGCGCAAGCATTATTCTGGGCAGTGAGGAGACATGCCGCGGAAGAGGAACATGGGGCAGGAGCCTGGTTCAGTCATTAAGCGGGATGGCACCTACTCCTCTTGATGACTGAAACTGGTGTTTTATACTGAAACAGTTCATACGTAAAACTGATTAGATTAGATTAGATTTTGTATAATGTTTATTATTGCTAAAGAATTTCAATTTTAATCCATGCATTTTAAGAATATTTTTTAGAATTTTCCATTTAAATAAACTGGTTGTGCTAATGCAGTCATTTTGCTTGTTTTGTTTGGAATACTGCGGTATGTGCATTGTATCACTTGCATTTTGGCTGATTCAGGAAGGACAGCCACTTCTTGTTTCTGGTCAGAATCTGGGTGGGCAAGGGCATGCTGAGGAAAAACTATGGAGGCCAGACCTCTGCTGCCTCATACAGGGCCACATTTTCATGATCTCCAGGGGGCAACAACCAGGCTGGTATATACTCAAGATCTGGGCCAAATGTCCAAACTAACAGCATTCATTTATCTAAGACAAAGCAAGTAGCATTCAGCTACCTTTAGAACTTCTGGGTTTATGAATAACATGGAAAAAAATAGATTTCAATAGACCTGAGGAGCTTTTCTGTCTTGCAAACTATAGGAGAGATCTAATGATTTGTGACTTCTTTTCCTTACTAAAAGAATCACTGTGCTGTTTTTGTTGTTTGCAGTACCAGGAATATATATATTTTGTCTTGCTTTTTTACAGATCTATATATAAATATTAATGACAAGATTTTCTCAAAGTCTGGGCCAAGAAAAGCTGCATTCTATACCTCTGAAGATATAGCATTCAACCTAATGCCTTTTCAGTGTTCACCTTTTAGGATTCACTGTTCAAACATGCCATCCTTTGGCTAGACTAGTGAGGCCGGGGTGACGGAGGGGAAGGGAAAAGCCCAGCAAGATACCAGAGAGTTGCTCACTAGCAATACAGCCCCCTGGAAAGATCACTCAGCACTGACATCAGTTGAATCTTCAAAACCTTAAGGCAGAAATGTGCAACTTTATAGGGCCTGAGGGATAGTTTCACCCACCAAGATACCTCCACAGGCAATACTCTTTGGGGTGCTGGAAAAAAATCAAGAGCAAATAATTTCTAGCGTGTTAAAAGGGTCAAATTTAACTTGCGCTCAAGCTAAATTTAACCAACCTCAAGCTCTGTACTCAAACCACTGTTTTCTCAGTTGTCAAATTCAGTGACCTATGGGGCAAAGGTGGGATATGTGACTTGTATGCTGCCCACCTGAGCCTTAAGGGGTAGAAACCTGCCCTTGTGTTAACCAAGGCTGAGATATTCAACTTTTGTGCATGTACATGTATGTGATCGTGGACCTGCAGAATATCATCTTTCCTGGCCATAAGGACCGGTGTGAGCATGTGGGAAGGGGCAACAGCAGTGCACATGTTGGGTTTTGGCGGAAGGGGCTAGAGACAAGGGAGCAAAGCGGGGTTTTCTTGTACCATATATTTGGTGATTTGGACACGTTTTCCAAAAGCTGTGTGTTAAAAGCACAGATCATCCAAGGCCCTGCTCTGTCCTTACAAATATCTGCACTTTCCACTGTAGGAAGACCCCATCAGGTCACTGCAGAAAAAGCGACAACCATCACCTACTTTAGCTCGATTTAGATCTTGTAAGCAGAATTGGATGCATGAGATCTCAGGTGCATGGGCTCAAATCTCAGCTTTGCCACAGACTCCTGGTCAGGTCAGACTCACTCCAGCTTAGTGTGTCATCTGCAGCATGGGGGTAACAGGAATCTACCTCACAGGGGTACTGTGAGGGCAGAGGCAACAGAAGGCCATGGAGTCCACATTGCGAAGCAACAATGCTGAGAGAAATGATCAACTGTGGTAGCAGCAGTGAAGGATGCAATATAATTCCTGGGATTGGCTATATATTATTATTACATTGCATTTATATCAATGCCATTCTTATTTTTTAAAGGAACTGTCAAGATTGTGGATACTCAGCAACAACTAAGAAGGGTGGGAGGAGATCAGCACCAAGAAAAGTTGAATTCTGTGATTCACAGAAATAATGGAAGCTTCCATATATTCTGCACAAAAGATTGTGATTTTGCTAGTCTCATGGTGGTGCTTGTGGGGCAGTCTAGCTGGGCCCAAAATCTCAATCTCAAGCCACAGGACAACCTTCTTTGTCCACCCCCAGCCTGTCTGTATAATTTCACCTGTCATTGCTTAAACATGTTCAAGCCTATCTTTGCACCCTTAAGGACTAGAAACATGACTTTTTTTCTTCTTAACAGGAATCCTGAGATGCATTTACTCTGAGCCATGGGTGTGCCCTGAACTGTGGCCAGAGCCTCATGAAGCTCCTTGGGATCAGAAACTTTCCTCTGTGAGAGAAGAGAGTGGGCTGCAGATCAGGAGGTGGGGGAGGAATTAAGAGTAGGAGCAGTGGCAAAAGGAAAGTGGAAGGCATCTCACTTTGCAGGTCCTCATCTTCTGCAAAGCTGGGGTTGTCCATCAGGTACTGTTGGGCCTCGGACCAGGTGGTCTGGAAGCTGACACAGCTCATGTTGTCCAGGATGCTCTTCAGCGCCTGTATGTTCCTCTTGCGCAGCTGCTTGGCGTGCTCCTGGGAAGGTGGCAGGACTGTGTTGGGATTGCCCCCCATCCTGCTCACGCAGACCCCCAGGCTTCCTTTTCCCAAGCTCTGAGAACAGCTTAATGTCTGGAGCACTGGAGAGGTGAGCTGGGAGACAGATCTAGACCAGGAGTGAGGCAACCTGAGGCCCTCCAGAAGTTCCGGACTACAACTCCCATAATCCCTGATTAGTGAGCATGCTGGCTGAGACTGATGAAAGCTGTGTTCCAACATATTGGGGGGCATTTACCTGACCTAAATGCTATTCTTTGCTACGGACAGTACCACCCCATCCCTTTGCTAATTCACCTTCTCCTTCTTGGCCAGGAAAAAGAGAACATCATCGTAGATCTCCTTGCGATCGCGCTCTGGCACCATGGCCCACACTTCCAGTTCCCCAAACATCTGCTCAGCTTTCCTGGAGAGAGGGGAGAGGAAAGAATGGTGGGGAGGAAGCAAGGCAGCTGTTGGGTGTGACTGTTTGGCACCACTTCAGTGAGGCTGAAGGGAGACCCTGGGGTTCTGAGGAAGGAAGACACAAGAAGAACAGGTGGGCAGGGTGGCCCAAGACGTGGGCACTGCAGGGCATGTATGGAGCCAAGCCAGATGTTCTTTTCCTTTTTTAAGCAGTGCCAATGGGGCTGTGGAATGAGAGGGGCAAGGGGCTCTGGGGGGCGGACGTGGGGACCCAGCCTTGTGAGATGGTACCATCCAAGTCCAGGCCAATTTAAGGTGCTGGTTATGACCTATCAAGTTATGACCTAAACAGCTTGGGACCAGGATACCTAAAGGAATGTCTTTTTCCCTACATGCCCTCCCGCCCCTTAAGATCTGCAGCAGGAACCTGCTCTGGGAACCCTCCTTGAAGGAGATTAGGAGACAGAATACCTGGAGGAGGGCTTTCTCTGCACTGGCGCCCCGGTTATGGAATGCACTCCCTAGAGAGGTCTACCTGGCGCCATCATTACATGCTTTTCAGTGCCAGGCCAAAACCTTTTTATTCACCCAATATTTTAAAGTTTAATAGATTTTAATTATCTTACTTCAGTCATGGGTTATTAGTTTTATTATTATTTGGGGCATTTATGATACTTACATTGTTTTTACTGAATCCGTTGTAAGCTGTCCAGAGACGCATAGTGATTGGACTGGTTAGAAATATCCCAAATAAATAAATAAATACCTGCTCAAGCCCCCTCAGGCGGGCAGGATGCTTTGCCCCAGGGACTGGCAGGCAGAATGTAGCTTCTGAACTGGCCTGCCCTGGCATCAGTCCAGAGAAGGTGGTTTTCCCCCCTCGCTTGGTCAACAGAGCAGAAGACCTCTGGTTTGCTGCATGCCTGGCTTCGAGTTACCCAGCAAAGGCTCCCCCCGTCCCTCGACAACAGGCTGCAGGAACTGCGCTGAAGCACCTTCTTTCTCCTGCCTAACTTGGCCGGGGAATTTAAACCAGGCCGGCCTGGCCTGGGCTGATGGGATGGACTCCTCCCAGGCTCTGGAAATCCCTGCCTAGGTATGTCAGGCTGGCTCCGTCTCTCTTGCTTTTCTGCCAGCAGGCAAAGGCATTCTTAGCCAGAAAGGGCTCTGGCATCTCAGCAGACGCACTGCTGAGACAGGCTTTAGGGCTGCTGCAGTTATTTCCTTTGTATTGGGGTGTTATGTGAGGAACTTTAATATTTTAATTATAAGCGCCTGCCTGTATCTGCATCGTACTGTTAGTCACCATGAGCATGACTTTGAGTGGAAGGGCAGAATCCACATGTAGAGACAAGGCAGGGGTGCAGGAAAGTCTCAGGCCTATGGGCCAAATCTAGCCCACCAGCTTCCCCAGACAGCCACAACACCTTCCCGCAGTGCTTGCCACCCCCACCCCCACCCCCCGAGGCTGAAATGCCTGTCTTAGCTACTGGCACGAAGGACTTGAAGCTAAAATACCCTGGCATTTGGCTCCACTCCCTTTGCCTTGGGCCTGCCCAGCACGGGAATGCGGCTCCCTCAGATTTCACTGCAAGCGAATTTGGCCCACAGGCTCCAAGGGGCACAATGCCCATAAAATAAGCAATCCCTTGCCCTTGGTGTTGTCTGCCACTGAGGCAGGCACAGACCAACATGTTCCCTTCCCAGGGCCAGTCAAGGCCGAGGCCTGGAAGAGCCTGGCAGCTCACCGATCAACCTCCTTCACAAAGCCTGTCAAAGCACTCAGAGAAGCCAGGGCGGAGGCCCCTGTCCCTCACCTGGCCAGGAGGGGAAGGGCCCCGGGCCCTCTGCTGGCAATCGTGGCCCCCCTACCTGTAGCGGGTGGTGGAGCTCATCTTGCTGTGCTGCTCCAGGAAGCGCTGTAGCTCCTCCTTGGCCTCCTTGGCCCGAAGCCGGGCCTCCTCCTTCTCCTCTTTGTCCCGCTGGGCCTTGTAGGCATTGAAGGCCTGCTTCTTCTCGCTTAGCTTGGGCAAGGCACTGGGGCACGCGGTGCAAGAGAGTCAAAGGCTTGTGCCCACAGATGGGCAAAGGGCAAGGGCAGGGGTGCAGTGAGCTGCCGAGGGAGGGGCTGGGGGAACTCCAGTCCAGCACTTCCCACGGCAGCCAGGGAAGGGCCAGGAGGTACAAGCCCAGGCCTGGGAGCTGGAGCCACGACTGGGGGCAGGGAGGAAGCCTGAGCATACCTGAAGCGTGGATCACTGCTAATGAGCTTCATGGCCTGCTCCCATGAGGCGCTTGCCACGACTCCCTGGAAACAGAGAACAGCAAGTATGCCTGTGGCACACTCCGTGTCCCAAGGCCAGGGTGGGTGAGCACCAGGCCCGCAGGATCAGCTTCGTTTCATTCCATAGCCCCGAGATCCAGCAGCAGGTGCCACAGAGAAAAGACACCTGCTTACTAAGTGCAGGGATTTGTTTTTTGAGTGAAGAACTGAACTTGCAGGCTTTCCACACAGGAACCTTCACTACCGCAAGCTTTCTGCCATTTCAGCCTGTCATGCGTGGTGGCTGGGAAGTGGGAGTCAGAAATTATTTCCGATCTGCTGCAAATCACCTTGAGATCTGCCAGCAGGCCTGCCCACTTTACACAATCAGAAGAATAGAGTGCCAACAGGATTGTTTTTTGGAATGTATCAATTCTGGCCATTCATTCTCCCCACCCCAATGCTATTTTCCTCTGGCAATCAGGGTTCCCCTACCCATCAGAAATGTTTCTCCTCCCTCTCAGCATCTTGAAGTGATACAGCCCAGAAAAAAGTCAAAGCAAAACCAAAACCCTTTACCACTTAATGCTAAAGGCTATACAGACTGGCTGCAATTCCCAGGAGAAATCTCAGTCCTTCTGACCCTTCCCCAGCCAGTACCTTGTCTTTGAGCAGCTCCTTAAAAGCTTGCTTGGCTTCTTCCTTGTTGCTCCAGGCATTGCCAGTAGCACGATCATCTTCATCTCTCCGGGCGGGATCACAACTTGCCCAGGAAAAGCAAAATGTGTTGGATGGAGCATGAGATACAAATGAGCTTAGCTGCTAGGGGAGACCCAGAAAGCCAAGAGGGAGAGGACGGCCTGGCAGAAGGACCGATCTCTCTCCCTCTCTTCGCTGGCACTTGGCTTGGCTCCCGTGCTGGCTCTGGGTGAAGGCAGCAGGAACTGCATCGCTGCCCCGGCCCCCGGCCCTGGCAGGCACCTTGTAAAGCAAATTGGTTAAGTGCTCTTCCCCCATGTGGCCTTGCTGGCAGGAAAGGAGGGGCTTCCCTTCCTCCATGGAGGTACAATCTACTTGCCTCTTAGAAGGTTACCCCCCACACAACTGCCCCCCAGTGTAGGCTAGATATTTTGGTGAACTTGTTTGCATGGCTGTGTAGGGTGAATGGCAAGGCTGCCTGTCAGGCTGTGAGCTTGAAACCTGGACTTTGCAGCAAAACTGCTGGCTTTCTGCCCAAGCCACAGCAGCTTGGGCAGTAGCAGCAAGGGCCACATTTAGCCCGGGCACTGTGAGTTGCCTCCCACTGCCCAAAATGCCTGCTGCCCCACCTCTCCCTCCTATGTCACCTGCTTGTGACCTCCTCCTCCGCTGCAGTGGGGGCCCCCTCCGTGCCAGGCGTCTCCCGTCCTTCAACACCACCAGTGCCTTCTGTGTCCGAGGTGGCTGCAGATGATGGGCTGGGGCTGGCCGGGCCAGACAACGAGGCTTCCGGCGGCTGAGGCTGCTGTTGTCTCCTGGCAGGGGAGAGGGCCATGGCTGGGAACCCCGAGCACCGGAACCCAAAGATCCCACAAGCACTTGCCAATATGCTCAGCTCAGGCTGCTGAGAACCAGACGGGGTTCTACACAAGCCATCAAGAGTGGGAGGTGGGAAAATTGGATGAGACGTGCCAAATGAGGCCGAGGAGGTGGATGAGAGGAGGAGAGCTGTCAGAGCCTTTCAGTCTCAGCCCCAATGGCTGAAAATCCCATTCTGCCTCCTATTGAGTTCTCACATTCCATGAAGCACCGAACATTTTCATGCTGCACACCATGAAATATTTTTTTTTACAAGCACCCTTTCAAAGTTGGAAGGTGGAGGTTATCCCAGTGCTGAATTCAAAGGCTGAAACTTGCTCTCCAGGAGACCCAATTGAGCCCTGGAAGGTTCTCCAAATGGCCCCACCCCCTTTCCTTGGCCCCACTCCCTTCTCCCATCAACCATTTGGTGATTTTCTGGCTTTTCTTGGCATTTCCAGAGTCAGCAGAGTCACAACAGGATGAAACAAGCAGAGTTTTCAAAGCTGGTGAAAGCCAATATGGTCAAGTGGAGTGAGTGTTCCACTAGGGACCTGGGAGATCCGGGTTCTAGCCCCCACTTGGCCATGAAGCTCACTGAGTGACTGGGCCAATCATGGACCTTTATCCTAATCTACCTCACAGGGTTGTTGTTGGGAGGATAAAATGGAGGAGGATTGTGTAGCCTTTGAGTTTCTTGCAAGAGGACAAATGGTGGAATATAAGTATAATAAATAAATAAAATAGGGCTGGCACCCAACCGAAGAATGGAAGGAAAGGCCAGAGATCACCATTCTTCTGTCTCCCAGTCCCCTCAGTAGCACACACAGCTTGTCTGCTTTACTTCCCTACTTCCCATGGGCGACCCTTCCCCACGGGGACTTACTCTGCATCCTCTTCTTCTTCCTTGATCAATGCTGGGGAAACAAAAGGCAGGGGTGATTACCACGGTGACCCCTGGGGAAGGCAGGGTCTGCCCACCTCCAGCCCCCAGCCACATCACTCACTGGCTCCCAGAGACCCCCACCTTCAATGTCGTCGAGCTCCCGGGGCCGGGTCCAGCGTGACTCCTTGCTCTGTGTGTTGTAGTAATAGGGCTTCCCAGTCTCGGAGCGGTACTCACGCCAGGGGCAGCGTGACAACAAGAGCTGAAGGGGCAGAGAAAGGAAGTTGTGGGCCCTGCAGGGAGCAGAGGAAGGAACCGGGTCCCTAGGCTCTGCCTGTCCTCTCTCGGGAATGAATGAGGCCTGGTGGTGACAGGGCTCCAAGATAAACCCTTTCATCTTTACAATAAATACATATAATGAAAAATCAACCTAGAATGTGCCTGTGTGTGTGTGTGTGTGTGTGTGTGTGTGTGTGTCGCTTGGACTGAAATTTAGCTGGGTACAGCAGACCTACTGAAATGAATCTAATGTTAGCTGTGGCTTGATGCCCATTTCCAACTTTCAATCACATTTTGGCATTACTAAAAGACACTAGAGCTGGCCTGAATTCAGCCTTTGGGCTAAAAGAGATTGGACAGCTGCACTACAGACATATTTGGGGAAGATTACGGCCATCCATGGCTACTAGTCAAAACAGTTCACTAAAGTCTGCCTGTCCACTGAATACAAACCCACTGGGTGGCCCAAGTGGCAGGGGGCGCTGCTCTTCGTGGCCTGCTGGCCAAAACGGCACCTCCTTTGCCACAGTGGCAAGCAGCCTGCTGGGTGAGATCCAGCAGGGCTTTTCTCAGGTTCCTCAGGGGATGAGTTTTGCTGAGCATCTTTCCAGACAGAAAGAAGATGTGTATGACCATATACATCATATGGTCATGACCACACGCATCACTTCTGCCCAGGCTCTTCAGTGGCCTCTTGCTGAAGCAACGGATCAGGTTTCCAGCGCTTCATTCTGTGGACTGCAGAATTTTCGAGCTGGAAGGGACCTTGAAGGTGATTGAGACCTGCACCCTGCTCAAGGCAGGATCCGCAATGAGGAAGGCAGTGGCAGCATTCCTGAGAGTTCACCCTCCCGTGAAGGGGCACCACCACCTCTCAGCAGACTTGACAACTGTCCATCAGCTCTCGCCATTAGAAAGGCCCTCCTAATGCCCAGCCAAACTTTGCTTCCCAGACATTTCCAGCCACTGGTTCTGGTGGAGCTGGAGCAGCCACAGAGCTCATGGGAGCCCACAGATAGGGGCCACCACACAGAAGACGCTGTGCAGCAACACTATTTGTTTTGTTTCTCATAACAGCTTTTCTTCAGCAAGAAAAGACAGAAACCGTGGTAGGAAAACATGGAAGGGGAAAGAATGGTAGATTAGGGTGCCTGTTTTCCCTCTAAGTTTTGGTGAAGGAGGCAGGGCGATGGTGGCATGAAGGCCTCATTGGGAAGGAGCTCGTCTGCTCCATCATCTGGACAGCAGCCATTCAGACTCTGGAAGACAAGTGCCATCTCTCCCCATACCCACATCTCCAGTCTGAACATACCCAGCTATTTCACCTGCTCTTCACAGGACTTGATTTCCAGACTTTTCTCCATCCATGTCACCCTCTTTTGTACAAGTTCAAATAATTATTGGAAGTTTAGCAATACAAAGACCTTTGTCTTAGGACCAATTTTGGGTGGGGGGAAGCCCACACAGGGCTGCTATCTAGAGCCTAAAAAGAAATGGACAAGAAATCTGTGTTTGGTACCCAAATTGCCCCCACACCCAAGGCCAGGTTGGGCTCTTACCTCTGCCTTGGACTTAAGATCATCGGGCTTTTCCCAGCTTGATTGTTTGGTTTCAGAATTATAGTAATAAACTCGCCCATCTGGGGCCCTGTGTTCACTCCAAGCAGGCTTCTGAGTAAACATATGAGAGAGATAAGAGAGAGAGAGAGAGGGACAATTCAGTGAAGGGATGGGAGTAGGCTATTTTTTTGCAAAGTAAGTGCTGCATATAAACTACCATCACACCATACTAAAACAGAAACTTATGGAACATAGAATCCTATACGTGAGAATATTAGTTTCTGCTTAGAAGAGGAATAATTTAAAAGCAAACTTCAAGCCTCCTGGTAAGAATGTGTAACCTCATCCCTCATTCTGGCTAGGGACTGCTAGCCCAGTAACATTCCCCACCTCTGCCTGATGGTTCTGAAGGGTGCAATCTTATGCGAATTTAGATGGGGGGAGACTTCGCTGACAGGGAACTGCTGAGAGCTCCAGGGTTTTTTTCTGTCTGTGCATGCATGGGATTATGCCCAAGGTTAGACTTCAGTGCCCATGAACAATATCTGGGGTAACCCTCTTTTTAAAATTATTTTTATTTATTTATTTGGGTATTTTTACCCCATCCAATATGTTGCAGGTCTCTGGGTGGCTTACAAGTCAAAATCTGATAAATACATATAAATTCAAATAATACAAAATAATCCACGACTGAGCATAAAATATAGCTAAAATATTAAACATTAAAATAATGGAAAAATAAAAAGGTCTTGGCCTGCCTCTGAAAAGCATATACAGTGGTACCTGGGTTCACGAACGCCTCAGTTCACGACCAAATCAGGTTGCGAACAGAAATTTCATAAAAATGTTGCCGCAGGTCGCGAACTCCGCGTCGGGTGACGATCGAGAGCGCACCCGCCTTCCCTACACAGGCATGATCATGGTCATGCTGAGGGGGAGGGGAGATGGCTGTGTTCGTGCTGGGGGGGGAGATGGCCGCGATTGTGTCTATGTTCCCTGCCCGAGCGTGCCTGCACCCACCACACACCCACGATCAGGCCAGTCTCCTCCAACCCCACCGCATGATCGCTGGGGGTAGGGGGGGGGGGAGATGGCCATGATCTTTGTTGCTCTTTGTCACTTTGCTTCAAATTTTTGTGAGTAAAAAAATAGTTGCAGAATGGATTAACCTTATTTACATTGACCCTTAATGGAAATTTGACTTGGCTCACGACCAATTTGGGTCACGACCAGAGTCCTGGAATGGATTAAGTTCGTGAGCCAAGGTACCACTGTAATGTTGGTGCCAGGTGGACCTCTCTAGGGAACTCACTTTAGTCGGGGTGGCTGGAGAAAGATTGCTGAGTAAATTTTCCCATAATCTAAGAGTGGGTGGGTTATTGCCTGGTTTACGAGTAGTTTCCCATGATCACCAGAAAAAATATCCCCCCAAAAAAGAGACAATTTGAAAAAAGACAAGGGGAAGGAACAGGAATTGCATTTGTCAGAAGGCCCTGCCCAACTTCAAGAAGTGATGCTGAGACCTAGCAGCAAATCTCATTCCACCCTCTGCTCACCACTGCCCTAAAAGCAGTGGGCTGGAGGAGGGCAGGCTGGGTCTTCAGCAGGATGCCACACCGGTCACTTCTCTTGGTACTCACCAGGCTCCTTGTCCATCTGATTTTGAATTTATTTCAAAAAAAGTTATTAAATGGGGAGATGTCCCCTTTCACGGCCACCCACCCCATGAAGCACATCCTGGATCGGTGTGAGGGTGGGCGTGCCACTGTGCTGCTAAGGGCTGGCATGCCCACCGGAGGCCACCTCTCTCCCACACTCACATCCCCTTTGTGTCGCTGGTGCTTGGCATCACAGGCCATTTACCTTCCGGCCTGTGTCCAGAACTGCCGAGCTGCCGACAATCACGTTCTGTTGCATGGCAGCAGTTAATGGATTTGGGATCTAGGAAGAAAAAAGTCAGAGCAAGAAGTGGAAAAGATAGTCCTGGATCTTGAAGGGAAGAAGGGATGGGGTGCTCATCTCACTGTGATGCCCCAGACACACAGTATTTTCTCTGAGTGACTCTTCTACAAGTCCTCTAAGACAGGGGAATCCAACTGCTACAGGAGCTGGATTTCAGGGAGAGGAGGGCCACATCTTGGCAGAGCATGTTGTCCTGCACTGCTTTGCCCAGAGATACCGGGGTGGGCGTGGGTGTTCAATGTGTATGACAAAATTGAAAAGCGGCTGTCCAAGTGGCCTTCCCTGCCCTTGGGAATCCCATACTTCAGCAAATTAAACTGAACAGAGTAATAGAATTCTTTTTACTTCCTTTCCACTGAAATGCTCTAGCTGAGTAATTCCCCAACTGGTGTGCCATGAAAGATGCCTTAATGCTATCACAAGGGGCTCCTGTGAACCCAGGCACTGACCCATGCAGGATGCAACCTGCTGCGCCTCTCCATGACTCATGACTGGGCTCCTCAAATCAGTCTCCCCTGCTGGGGGGTGCTGCCCCCCTGCCCCTGTGATTGCGGTGTGTCATCTCTTCTGGGGCAGGGAAGCAGCAGAACCATCCATCCTCAGGGAAGCCCGCCTGGAGCTTCACTGCAGGAGTCACTGTCCTAGATTTGCCTCTTCCTAGCAATGAGGCATGTTCAGGTCAGGTCAGGTTCATGCAAGAGCATGGCAGGAGGTTGTTCTCTGAGTCTGAGTAATTCCCGCTCTTCCAAATACAGCTTTCAGGAGTAAGAATATAGCATGTCTGCTATTTTAATTCTTTTAAAAACCAGCACCACCATGTCTTGGCTATTAGAGATGAGAAACCTTGAGATCAGGGTTGGGAACCTTGAGGTCCAACAAATGCTTTCACAGACAATTCCCATCATCCCTCACTACTGGCTGTATTGGCAAGGGCTGATGGGACTTGTAGGCTAAACTGTTGGGAGGGCCACAAGTTGCCCATCTTGCTGTAGATGGAAAGTCAAAAGAAAACTGACCCACAGGCCTGAAGAAAAGCACATTTGGAAAGATGCCTACAGTCTGTTACTCACCACAGGTGCTGCCTGGGTCACGGGGGCTGCAAAACAAGATGGCAGCGATTAAGAAAGGACGTGGTTGCGGCCCCCAGGAGAGGCGTATGGAGGACAAAGTGCAAGAATGAGGATGACAACCAGGTTCCCCTCCAGATGTTCTGGACTACAACTTCAATCAGCACTTGACAGTGTGGTCAATGGTCAGGGATTATGGGAGATCCAGTCCACACACCTGGAAGGCACTGGTTTACCAAACCCTGCCAGATAGGATGGCTTCATGCTGAAGAGGCTGGCTGATGTTTCCCGGAGCCCATTCCAATATCTTGTGTTGGCTTACATGGGAAGGGCGCAAAGCAGCTTGCGTGAAGAACCACCTCAGCAAGGCTGGCATCTGATGCCGAACATCATGCGCTCTTGTGTCCTCCCCTCTCCCCTGCTTGATTAATAAGAGTGCACAGCATGACGCTTTGCCACCATGGCGTACCTCCAAGCATGTGGCTGTGGAAGGCACAGAGCCTCCGCCACAAAGCGGAAGAAATGTGGTGTGGCTCTCCACAGGCCAGGCCATCTCTGCAGGACTCCTCCGGACAATGACTGGTGACCCACTGAGCCAAACATCACAGAGCAGCTGCCTTGCCTTATTTATTTAGTTAGTTATTAGATTTATATCCCACCTTTTTTCTTATAAGAACTCCAGGCAGTTTATGTCATTCTTCTCCTGCTGATCTCAGTCTTATCACCCCAACAACAACCCTGTGAGGTAGGCTGGCCAGAGAGTCTGCGCCTGGCCCAAAGTCACCCCAGTCGACTCCATGGCCAAGTGGGGACTAGAACCTTGATCACCTGAGTCCCTGTCCTGCACTCTTAACCACTACTCCACACTGGTCTTGGAGCAGCTCAGGGGTTCCTGGGCCCTCGGGGGGAAGACAGCCGCACCTTCTCCTCCAAACTAGTCCCCCTTGGACCTGGAAGCAGATGCTGAAGCAGATGTGAGCCCCAAAGGGTGTGGGCACCCAAAGGTGCCGCTTGGCCGGCTACTCACTGCTGAAGTCTTGCCTGAGGAGCGAGCAAGGCCTGCTCACCGGAAGTGGCCCTGCTGCTGTGCTCTGGTTCGGCTTCTGAAGAGTCTGGCTCAAAAGACCTCAGTTCCATGCCAGAATCCGGGAGCAGCAGCTCCTGCCTGGTCTTTTCCTTGCCCTTCTCAGAACCCCCCTGCATTTGGGGCTTGACCTGCCTGTCAGCGCTGCCACTGGAACTGACCCTGATAAATCCTTGGAACGCTGCCCAGTGCTCCCAACGCAGGGCCACATATCAGATTCAACTCCCAAGCACTGAGTGCCTGATCCGGAGATCCCTTAAATATACTGATGGTGGCTACTCACCACTGGATGGGTCTGTCGCAGGGGCTGCCTGTCCAAAAAAAAACAAATAGAACTAAATCCACGGGCTTTGACCTGGCTCCCTTCCTCACTGGAGTGGATCCTTTTGCCTTCCCCTGAATGCAACCTCTGTATAGCTTGGTGCGGTGGTGGGAGCAAGGCAGCAACAGCAGAGGAAATGGTTCGGGATGCGCGTGCGTGTACATCGGCGTGCACGCACCTCCACTCCTCACTAGGCCTGGCCCTTCCAAAGCAACTTTGCTCTTGCAAAACAGGTTGTCGGTATCTTCTGTCACCTGGTTTTGTAACCTCTAGAAAGGCCCTCGTCCATCTATCACTGCTTTCGACAGTAACCTCGATGCTCAGATGCATAGGCTACATCAAGGGCCAGCAACGGCTGTCTCGGTCGCCTGTGCCATGCTGATAGCACGCCCCACGGCGCAGGAACCCTGCTGCCACCATCTGGAAATCTCCACTCCCATAACTGACACCCTTTTTCCTGAGGGTGCCTTGTATGAGTGCCAAAGCCAGAGAGAAAACCTCATCTCTGCAGCCACTGCCATGCCTATGAAATATTTGAGCTTCGGACCAGTTTCCTCTTCAGTCCACAGCCAAGCACAAGGCAGCAGGAGAGCCCCAGAGTGGAGGGCAGGAACACAAGCTGGACTTTGGGCAGAGGGGCTGAGCACACGCCTGACTCTTTGCCCATGCCCCAGGCCGCACCCTCCTCCCACCGACCGCTGATTGCCTGGGAGTTTCCGGGCTCTGCTCCGGTGCCTCCCCCACCCCTTGAAAGGCTGGCATGCCACTGCTAAGGGTGCTGGCAGGAAGAGCTTTCAGCTAAAATAAGCTGGCATGCTTTCATACTGTGGCTCCACCCCTTCACCTTTGGCCCCGCCCACTGCGGGAATGCTGCTCCCGAGGGCCTCTCTGAATAGGAATGTGGCCCTCGGGCTGACAGACGTTCTGCAGCACTGCTCTGCCGTGGCCAAGGCCAAGCAGCCCTCCCACCAGGCCACAAAACCCATGCCTCGGGCAGAGCCCCTGTGCCCGCCTGAACCACTAGCCCTTCCAGACACTCACCCCTCCAGAGACGGGAACCGGCCCGGCTGGCACCCCGGGCATCATCATTCCAGGCAGCATTGGTGGCACCATTGCGGGCATCTGGAGACAGAAGGGGGAAAGGCCACACATCTTATGGGAGCAAGGGGGGGAGAAAGGGAGGCATGGGCTCCACGAATGGGTATTACCTGTCCCAGGGGTGGTGGTCCAGGCATGGGTGGGATCAGTGGGGGAGGCGGCATCATGCCAGGGGGCATGGGTGGCATAGGGGGTGGCCGTGGTCCCATTGGGGGCAATCCCATTGGGGGGAATGGGGGTGGTATTCCTGGAGGAGGCATCTAGGAGTAAGAAGAGAGAAAGAGAGAGAGAGATGTACACAGAGTATATTCCCAGTCACGTGTCCGCAATGCAGGGGCCAACAAGTACCAGCAAGTGTGCCTTGGACCTTTCTCAAGTAGAAATGAATGGGGGAAATATCAGACAGTAAAAGGGCAATGCATTTCTAGGAAAGCTCTACCATAGCAACAGCACACTGCAGCCGATAAGGGGTTGGGCCCAGGCTTAGTTAGGCTCTGAGCGCACACTGAAATCCATGGGCCTTTCGTTGCAACTAACGTATGCTGCAATGACTGGGACAGACAGATAAGTACAGCTATGTCTGGAACCGATCCCAGGTGCGTGCGCATGCACACACACAAAATCGCATCGTAGTCGTCAGCAAGTGACAGGGTGAAGTCCAGATAAGGATCTCCAGTCCACAGCTGACAGTCCGCTTTTGGCCCTGGTGCTGTGTGAAAGGATAGCCCTCCCAGTACGTGCGAGAGCCCCCCTTTGCTGGGCTCAGGTCTTCTCCCACTGGGGAGAGGGCGCAAGCCTGGAGGAGCGTTCCTGCAGCTGCCAGCGCACTCCAGGTGCTGCCTGCATACAGAGGAACACCACTGAGTCTTCCATTATCCCCGGTCACGGACTTAGGCAGAGCAGCTTCACTGTGCATGAGCTTTCCCCCAACAGGGGAAGCACCACACACAGCACCCCCAGGTCCTGGCAATGCACCAGTGGACCCTTTATCCAGTGGGTCAGCCAAGAACCGCACCACCCAAGAGGAGGTACCTGCATTCCCTGACAGCCCAGCAAGGGCTATGGAGCAGCTCCTCCAGCCCTCCATCCCAATTTCCTCCTCACTCTTGGTGTAGCTGCAAATACAGCCTCATGTCACTTTCGTACGGAGCCCCTTCCAAAATGGATCTTTCATCAATCCCACGTAACAGTAACACCCGCATGTATACAGACTTGCATACACCCTGTGGCATGAGGCCAAGCAACTGGGATGCTGCCAAACATGCTGAAATGCAAGCCAGAGAGCCCGGAACTTACAAAGGGAGGCGGCAGAATTGGTGGCGGCGGTGGGGCAGGGGGAAATGGGGCCGGCTGCCCAGGGGGAGGGACACTGCCTGAATCTGGAGCTGACTGAAAGAGAGACAGAATAAACAGGGTGGCAGGGGAGAGAGAAGGAATTGGGTTATTGCTGGGGAAGGCAAAAAGAGCTGAGAAGCATCTGGGGAAGTTTCCAAGTAGCATCCCACATTTTCCAAGTCCCACTCCCTCCATCTGGCCCATCATTCCTTGACCTGGCACCTTTCAGATGCTTTGAACTACAAGCATCCCTCCTCATCCCTCACCAGTGGCCATGCATGCTGGCACTGATGGGAGTAAAAGCCCAGAAACATCTGAGGGGCACTGGAAGGCCTTGCTGCGCTTCAGAGGTGACTCCAAGGGGAATTCCCAAATGTTTCCAGCTGCCCTCTTCCCTCTGCTTTGAGTCAAGACACATTTCCAGGGTGGACGGAAACATCTGCACCCCCCTAGTCATTATCTTTGCCAGCCTGTCATTCCTGAAACTTGTCTGAAATTGACTGGCAGGAACATAAATGTACGTATTTAGAATAGGAGAGATAAGAGAAAAAAACCTTTCACACCTTTATGCATTGACAGATAGTGAGAAATGCCCTCTTGCTGGCACCCTGCTGCTGCAAAACATCCCACAACTCCACCACTGCAGCACCACTCCATTAGGCCCGTGGGTGAAAAGAGCAGTCACACTAGGAAAGAAACTAATTCTGCCAGAGCAAAGGATCAACCCTGAGAAACAGCAGGCAGACTCCCCTCCAAGAGGAAAGCACCCACAAGCAGGAGGCTCTGCAGAGCAGCGGATTCAAGAGGCCCTGACCTGGGAACAGGTACTTGATGAAGACAGGTGGAGCTGTAATGTATGGGTGGCATCCACCCTCTGCTCCTCTTGCAAGCTCTCCTCCTAAGCGTAAAATTCAGCATGGATACCATGAAGGCAGGAACAGAAAAATATCTGCCTGGAAACTGTACCTGCTCCCTGTTTTAGTACGTAAAAACTCACTAAGAACGCTGCAAGAGCCCATCAAAGGTCCCTCTAGTATCCTGTATCCTTCCATGGCCTGACAGATGTCCCCAGAAGCTCAAAAGCAGAGAACAATGGTGATGGCTCTCGCTTGTCACTTCTGCCCAGCAACTAGTAATCACATATCTGAACAGAGATTCCCTTTATCTGTCATGGCTAAGAGCCATTAAGAGTCTCTTCTCACAACATTTGTCTAAGTTCGTCTGCATAGTGGATGGAGAACTTGTGGCTCTGTAGATGTTGTTGAACTCCCATCAGCTACAACCAACTTGTCCAGTGGTCTGGTATTGCAGTGGAACATCTGGAATTGTTTAGCCAACATTAACATGATCGCCACTTTCCGTGTTTAATTTCCTTCTGATTTCACTGTTTACGATCCTTCCCCCCAAAACACTTACATGTACTGTATAGGAAGGTTAAACTCTCTGGAATACCCCATACATCTGATCCAATGGGGCAGGATAATTGTGTAGTCTTCCAGATGCCACAGCATCTACCCTCTGGAAACATCTGGCGGGCCAGAGGTTCCACACCTCTGAACGCTAGATTTTTAAAAAAACTACAGAAGGAAGTGGTCATCCTTAGATTGTGTGGCAGTGCATTCCTGATATCATCTTTATGTCATGTGAACTTCTTTCTGTTCAACTTGGTGCCCATGGGTGGATCCCAAACTTCAGAATTCTGTGAGGACATTTCTTCTATCCCCACCAGTCATGGTGCAAAAAATTCCCATCTCCCCTTAGCTCAATCATAAATGATGAACCGTGAAACACTTTGGCCCAGAAGGAGGTGATCTGAGACCCTCTGGATGTTTTGGACTACAACGTCCATAGCCTCCAACCAATGACTAGGCTGATGGAGACTTATAGGTCCAAAACATCTGGAGGGTGCCGAGTTGCCAGCACCTTTTCTAGTGGGGAAGATGCTTCAGCCCATGCATAATGTCCATTGCCCTTTTCTGCATGGTGAGCCAACGAAGGGGAGCAACACTGGATGAATGGGTATACAGAGAGAGATGAAAGATGGTTCTGTGTGAGCCAGACTGCTTGCAGTAGATGTACGGAGAGGAAGAGTATGGAGAGGAAGAAGTAAGACATCTATTTGGTGATAAGCAGTGATGTTTGCTGATAAACAGTAGCATATCAGGATAATGTCTTACTTTCCCCTGCATAAGTCAAGGCACCAAATGGGGCTGTGGCCCAGGGGTAGTGGGACAGGAAGCTAAATCTGGATTGTTCTCTTGTGCAACTGAATTGTACCTCAGTGTGGGCACATAGCACTTAGCTCCCAACTCTCTTGAGTTGCCTCGAAGAACAGAGGAAGTTGCCTGCTATTAATTTTGGGGGGGGGGGTCCCTCTTTCACCAGTCCCTCCTACAGTGACTCACAACCATTCCCAAGGACCTCAGACAGGAGCCTTTCCCAGCCCCACCCAGAGATGACCTGGAGTCTTCTGCCAAGCCACAGTCCTTCTCTTCAAGCACACACGGCCTTGCATTTAAGTTGGGAACCCAAAAAGTTTCTCAGCCTCTTGCACTGTGGCATATTGAGGGGATTTAGTTTTGTACAATTCCAACTTACTCCTACCTCTGTGAATGACATCACAGTGACATCACACTTGCCACTGTCTCCACCCTTGGGACAGTTTACCTAAACTATCCTGGAGCTCTTTTCCAATGTCGGTGAATTTCTCTGGTCTAAAGGGCAGTTTGGCTCTCGATCTGGCTGAAGTGCGGCTTTACTTAGAGTATCTAAGCAGATGTATGTGGGCCTTTTGGTGTCTCTTGATTCATATCTGTGTATCTGCATTAACAGATGTATCTGCATTGTCTATTTTCACATGATCATCTACACATACCTTCTTCCACATTTACTTACAATGCACATATATTTATATTAGCTGCATGTATTGTATATTTAAAGATCTGAAGACAGAGAGATATAAATGCACATGCATCTTTGACTTTTAGAGGGATGCTGTGCCCATCCCTGAACATGCACCTTAGCATGTGGCTACAATTGCATGTGTGCATATCCATTTCTTGCTGTGCATTTGCTCCCATGGGCACTGAAGGGCTTTGTGCACAGGCGTAAATGAGGCAGCCGGCACTGCGCAGCAGAGAGTAGGCTAGGTTTGGCCGGGGAAGAATCAGGTTCAGATTTTTCCTGAGGCACGAAGCTCGGCGAATGGCCTCGTGGGAAATGCTGTCTCAACTTAATCTCCCTTACCTCTGCGATATTCAAGCCAGGCAAGGTATAGTGCTAGCCCAGGTTCAACGTCTGGCATAAACCGGCAGTTCAAATTTAAAATGTGTTTTATGCAGGCATCTAGTCGCACATACACGCGCGGAGGTGTGCACGTGTGCATCGCATGTACTTCTGTGTACCTATACCGAGCTGGGTGCTTTTGCTTTTTTTTGTTTGGTTCGGGAGGGGGGGAACAGTGCACGCATCTGTGCCTGTACGCACAAACCAAGATGCCTCACCATCCCGGCTGCCCACCTTCTTATCGGCTCCCGAACCTCCTCCCGAGGATGCCATCCTCCCCCTCCCACCAAGCTCCTCAAAAAAGGATTCCAGCAAGCCAGCGAGGCGGAGGGCGCTCCGCGACGGTCCCCCATCCGTGCAGAAGGTGGAGAGAAATGTGGCCCGTGAAGGGTGGACGCGTCCCGCAGCCCTCGCCCTCCCTGGGAAGCTCCGATCGGGCACATACACGCGCACCCCTCCGCCCCCGAACCCATCTCCGCCCCGGATCTTCGGGGGAGGGGGAATAACAAAGCAGCAGACATTACCATGGCCGAGCCTCGGATCAGCTGGGCGTGCAGGCGGGCGGCTCAGCCCACCCGGCAGTAAGCGCGGCCGCGATTGGTGGAGCGCGGGCGGGCGGGGAGCTCCGGCCGGGCGGGCCGGCGGGCGCGCGAGCCGAGAGAGCCCCTTTGCTGGCCAAGCGCGCTCTCCCGGCGCGGGGCTCGGAGCAACGCGGCGAGGGGCCGAGCCCTGCGCTGCCAGGAGCCCGGTTTCATCCAACGGGAAGCCTGCTTTCGGCGCAGGGGCAGAGTCTGGCTGCGACGTCAGGAGTACCGAAGGGAAAGGCGTGCCTCTGAGCATGTGCAGAAATTCACATCCCCGCGCGCCCGCCTTGCTTTTCTGCCGTCAGGGACAGCCAGTGGTAATATCAGAGCAAGGGGAGCTGAATTTCACCGCGGCAGCGAGCTATTTTAAGTTATGCAGAACGCTTAGGGTTTGGTGGGCAAGGGAAAGGAAACAAGGAATGCGGGTGTGGCAAACACGTGTCTGCAGCGACAGAGTCGTGACTGGCCTCGGGGGCAGGACCAGGCCTCGCGTCCTCCAGCGCTTCGAAAAGGATCTTGATGTAGAATTCATAGATGGATCATTCTCGTTTATACACAACGTGAGGATTAACATAACCTTCACGTTAGACTCCTGTTAAAGACACACCTGAAGTGGCTTGCCTGCAAAGCTGATGTGGTAATAGGAATTAGTCCTTTGGAACTCAGTGGGTCTTATTTCTGAGCAGGCATGCACTGCAGCCCTTCCACATGAGATCCTTATGGCATCCTCTTGTCACATGCAAGAGATTTCAAGGCGTTGACAGGAGTCAAGCGCCAAGGATGATGCAAAGATGCAACATTTTCTACCACATTGTGCGCCCCAAGATTGTTATTGGGCTTATGGGGAATATAATTGAGCTGATTATTGGATATGAAATACTGTGAAATCCTTCTGGATTGTTATCTGATGGCTGCCAAATTAGACAGCCTTTAAAGGGGATTAGATAGAGCCCCTAAGGCTATCAATGGCTACCAGGCCTCATGGTTGTACATTACCTCCTGTATCAGACATAAGATGTTGGTTCCACTTGCTGAGAATTTGGGTGCCAGGGTTCTGTTATATTCTGCTTATGGGCTTCCCATAGGTAACCAGTTGACCACTGTAGGAACAAAGTGGTGAATGAGCGAGGCCTTTAGTATAATCTAGCAGGGAATTTGTTGGCAGCAAAGATTCTGTTTGCTACTGAATGACATCTGAATTAAAATTAAGGGAGCCAAGAATAAAAGCAACATGGTGGTTGGAGTCTAGTGCTGACCACCCAATCAAAGAGAAAATGAGGATGAAACTTCCTAAAAGCAAAGTACTGGGGCTTCAAAGAAGCATGATGGAGGGGATTTCAATTTCTGTGATTTCTTTTGGGAGACAAATTCTGCCACCATGGCCCCTCCAAGAAATTTCTGATTGCTGTTGTTGCTGATAACTTCCTCCTATAGATAGCGGAGGAAGGAATTGGAGGATTGGTGAGCCTTCTAACCAGCAGGCATGATGTAGTGGATAAAGTGCTGGTTAAGGGAATTCTGGGGGAAAATGACCATGCCATTATTGAATTCTTGATTTTAAAGGAAGCAAAATGTGTACTGTGGATTTTAGGAAAAGCAATTGTTTTAATTTTCTTAACATAAACAAAACACAAAAAGAAGTATAGGTAAAATAAAGTAACGAATAAAGTTGCCAAGGGATTTTAAATACAACCAATATATTGAAACCCACAAATTTATCTATCTGTCATTCGGCATTCTATGAGAAAAGCAATTTTAATAATAGAACAATTGTGAATAAGTTTGCATGGCAAGTGACTCTAATGGGGAAAGGAATCCAAGATGTGTGGGAACTTTTGGAAAAGTAAATTCTAAAGAGGCATTTCCAACAAGAAAAAAAGGTTAGAAAACAACAAAAGAAACCAGTGTGACTTCAGAAAAAGCTAACAATGTCCTGAAAAAAGGGCATACAGTATATGGGAAGTGGGAGGAAGGGTCAGGCTACAAAAGAACAGTAGGGACAGATAGCATGAAATTGCAGGGATAGTGCCAGGAAGGCTAAAGCAGAGAATGAGGTTAGCAAAGGATGCCAAAAGCAGCAAGAAAGCCTTCTTCAGGAGTGTGCACAGTAAAAGACAAAGGAAAGAAATGGTGGCTCAGTTAGTGAGGATGGCAAAAGGATAACAGTGGACAAAGAAAAGGCAGAACTGCACAATTCCTACTTCGATGGAGCCTTTTCTCAAAAGAAGCGTAATGGCTTCCCTAGCAAGGTTGAAGCACAAGCTGAAGGGGCAGAATTGCAGCTTGAGATTGATAGGCAAATGGTCAAGGAACACCTAATTTGGGCAGGTTCAGCTCTCCAGGAACTGATGAAGTGCATCCTAAAGTAATAAAGGCACTGGCAGAAGAACTCTCAGAACCACTGTCTAGTATCTCTGCAAACTCACGAAGGACCAGTGAAGTGCCAGCTGACCAGAGGAGGGCTAAAAGGAACCTGGAAATGGCAGACGGGTCAGTATGGTATCAGTCCTTGGGGAAAATGTTGGAACAGAACATAAAGCAGTCAGTCTGCAGACACCTGGAAAACAGTGCAGTGATTACTGGAGGCCAATATAAACAAATCTTGCCAGACTATCTGGAGCTAATTTGTTGGTTGAGTAACCTCCCCAAGGTCTGTGGGAGTCCTGTGGACATGGTATATCTTGACTTCAGCAAAGCTTTTGAAATGTGCTTTATGATGTCCTGATTAGTAAACTAGCTAAAAGTGAGCTAGACAGAACACCTGTCGGGTGGATCTACGGGTTGGTTGCAGAATTAGACTCAAAGAGTGCTCATCAATGGCATCTTCTCAAACTAGAGACCTAACCAGTGGGGTATCAGACGGTTCAGTCCTGGGCCCAGTACTCTTCAACATTTTCATTAATAACTTGGATGAGGAAGTACAGATAATGTTTATCAGATCTGTAGACGACACAAAACTGGGTGGGATAGCTAATAGCCTAGAAGATAAGATTCAAGGTGATTGATTTTGATAGGTTGGAGCGCTGGGCTAAAAATAATGAAATTCAGTAAGAACAAATGCCAAGTTCCCCACCTAGAAAGAAAGAAACCAAATACATGTTACAAGATGAGGAATACTTGGCTCAACAATACTGTGAGTGAGAAGGATCTTGGCACTGTTGTAGATCACAAGCTGAATATGAGCTAACAATGTGATATGGATGCAAAAAAGATAAATGCTATTTTAGGCTGCATTAATAGAAGTGTCCCTAGTTTCCTTCTACTTAGCACTAATTAGGCCTCCTCTGGAGTACTGTGTCCAGTTCTGGGCATCTCAGTTTCAGACAGATGCAGTCAGATTAGTAAAACATTTCAGAGGAGGGCAAAGAAGATTGGAGGACTGGAAACAAACTCCTGTGAGGAAAGGCTGAAACAGCCAGGCCTGTTTAGCCTCCAGAAGAGAAGGCTGAGGAGAGCTATGATAGCACTCTACAAGTACTTGAAAGGCTGCCACACAGAGGAGGGCTGGGATCTCTTCTGGATCATCCCAGAGGACACAGGCTCCATTTAGGACACAGGCTCATGGACTCCTTTTAGGACACAGGCTCATGGACTCCATTTAGAGAAAGCCAAGTTCTGGCTGTACATCAGGAAAACCTCCAGGCTTTTAGAGCAATACCACAGTAGAACTAATTACCTAGGAGGTCAGGGAATCTCCCACACTGGACACCCTTTTGTCAGGAACCCTTTAACTTGAAGTCCTGCACTGAGCAAGGGGTTGGACTTGACGGCCTTGTACGCCCTCGCCAACTGCGCTGTTCCATGATTCTATGAAATAATAATACTTTCACTGAAAATGTAGCTAGTTTAAGTATGGAAGATCAAAGGGCTGGTGAGTATATACTTTGAGATATGTTAAAAATAAAAAGAACATGTGAGAATTTTAGGCCTTTTTTGAGTTTCTAGAATAGAATCAGAAATTAACAATGGTAATCCCTCCAGGGTGCAAGACTAACTAAATCTAGCACTGTATAAATAATTGACATGTCTATAGTTGTAGTTAAAGTGCTTATATATGTATAATTAACTAAAATGAATGATTATTAGTGATACATTATAGTCAATACAGCAACTCATGGATATTTAGAATATAAGGAATAACAGTAGTTATAGGTAAGTTGTTCTGTGTTATATTTAAATAAATGGATGTATGCATTAGTCTAGAAGCAAATTAATAATCAGCCAAGTAATGTTTAATTTGTAAAAGACAAAATTAAGATTTCTAAAGTAATAAACAATTTTTAAGCAAAGACTAGTTGGCAAGCTGTAAGGGATGTGACACATTTCATGCGTGGGCATGGAGTTAGACTAGATGGATGCTGAGTTCCATCCAGTTATTTTGATTCTAGCCACCCACAATGGAGGCTGATTACTGGAGTCTAGCTCAGGCAGGTGAATCATACAGCACTGCAGCAAACAGCCTCTTCTGAGAGTGCTTCATTTAAGGCACTGTCATATGCAAGTTTAAACAGAAAAAAGGCCTACAGCTCCCAGCAAGGAGAGCTGGGTTGGGTATGCCTGCAATTATAGGCCTTTTTTCTGCTAAGCTTGCATAGGATTGCACTCTCAGGCTCACAGGAATTTCTTACGGCATTCTAATATAACACATCAATCCTATACCAGAGTTTTCATATAGCACATTAGTTGAGGGAAGTTTGCCCTAATTATGCACACTAAGAGCCACTGTGTTCCGAATTTAGATATTGGAAGTTTCTGGTTTATTGCGTTAGTTAAGATGTCAGGTTTCTACTCTGCCTTTTCATGCTTTACATTTGCTTTGACCTGATATTTTGGAATACTGAAAACACTAATCATTTGGGAGTAAAAGTTGGGAGTCAGTTTTTAAAAAAGAAAGATGCACAAGTATAATGTCTAAAGATGCCTGATTTCTAAAGAGAGAGAGAAAGATGGTTGGATGATACTACAGAATTATTTGCAATGCATCCTCCTAGG